ACCTTCCATTTTTTTTCAGGATTTTCTATTTTTCACAATCTTAAGAACATTTCAAGCCTCATCCAAAACAGAAGATTATACATCCATATATGGTTTCAATCTCATCATGAAACAAATAATTTCAAATGTTGTTGTACAAGGCTCCACAAAATTCTTTGTAAGGCATATTAGCAACAACTAAAGCATAATCATAAGACTTTACCACAAAAGTAAGCATCTCACTTGTCTGTATTTTCTAAAAGTAATGCCCCTAACTGAAAATAATTTGTAGCCTAAAAAGAGGTTGTAAGTTCATAATTGCATTTCTACAGATTACCTGTATTCTTTCAGGCCAAACGCCAAGAATAAAAACACCATTCAAAGACACAGAACAACAAAAAACGTTCCTGATAATTTCATTTCAATAAAAACTAAACTCAACAAAGGTATAAAACTCGACCGAGTAGTCCCATAAAAACCAAAACATACCGAAACTCCAAACAAAATTTGACAAAAAAAAATTATTAAAGCCTCAAACTAGTTCTCCCGACGAAAAATTCTCTTCAACCAACGCCTACAAATTAAAATTCAAGCGCCGCCAGAGCCATACTTCTTGCCAAAAACAATCATCTGCAGCTTGTCATACCCAGCAAGAACACCAGCACCTGCAACAGCACGTAGGATATTTGCACCGGCGCCCTTGAACAGAGATTTCGCTCCCTCGTTCTTTAAAATTTGATTGAAAGCGTCCATTGAGCTCTTGTACTTCACGGCTTCTCCGGAGGTCATCATCATCCTTCTTCTGACGGTGTCGATAGGGTAGGATGCCAGTCCTGCACCGTTGGTTATCACCCAACCGAGGGCAAAACTCGCAATAAAGCTATCCTGAAATTAGCAGACAAAAAAAAAAATGCATGACTTTGCCATAAATATGGAAGATAGTATATATACTAGGAGTTGCAGATAGTGTAAATTTTTTTTCAGAAAAACTTCCGTGGATTTGGAGGGTACATACGCAAATTTGCATCTATGAAGAGGTACATGTAGAAGGTACGTGTAAAAGAAAACAAAATTCACATTGATAGGATTCAGCCATACCTGCATTTTTCCAGTAAGGAGCACTGGCTTCAAAGAGAAAAACAAAATTCATCATTAGCTAAGCGAGTACGCGCATAATCTAGGGAGTACGTACACAAAGGTTAGTGAAGAAGCACCAGCTGCTCCTCCTGAAGCTAAGTTACCACCAAACCATTTCCAGTAGCCATCTGTGTCCTTCTTGAAGTTGAAACAGTCTCTTGAAATAGTCCTTGAATGCAAAGTTTAATGCCTGAAAAGGAAATTTTTCAGTGACATAAATTTGGCTATATGCTTGTAACTAAATGGAGATCAAATATCTTGCTACGAGAAGTAAATTCTGAAATAAAGAAAAATGAGTCCTCTCTACTTTATGTGATATCAGAATTGTATACTTTGTCTGGTAGGCCGTCACTAATCCTAACTACAAAAAAAAAAACTACATAAGTGTGTGTGTAAAGCTACGGAAGATAACTAGTGGACATCGAAGTAAAGATGAAAATGAATATGACGCCTTGAGTGAAAATCTATTGTTGCAGACAGACCCCTCGAGTGAAAATCCATTGCCACGGATAGACTCCCTGAAAAGGGTCAAAAAAATTTCACTCGGGGGTTCTATCTGCAGCAATGGAATTGGTCAGGGTTGCATCATCAATAACGCTAGAAAATAACAAAAAACAGAAGGTGCATGTGCTGATAAAATTGGTCAGGGGTGATGCGTACGCTACATCCCCGTAGTACAAGAGGTTCATCTGCAAATTAACCATAGATTATAAGTAGCATAGTGTCTTAATTTTAGAGCTAGAGCACCAATTTTTCCTCTAGAAAAAAAAAAAAAACCCATACAATAACAATCATTTCAATAGAACAACCACCAAGAGCAAGAAACGCAGACCTGAGTAGGAAAATATCTGATTGATAACATTGGCAGTGTTCCCTCTCCAGAGAGAACCGACCCCCTCATCCTTCATCGTTCGAGCAAAGCAATCTCCGATCCCCTTATAAGGCTCCGACAACCTCCCAGCCTTAATCATCTCATCCTGGCTCTGTATCAGCAAACTTCACACGCTCGATATTAGGAGCAGCAGCGGTCTTGGACACCGCAGCAGAAACCCCGCCCATGAAGAAATCGGCGACGAAGTTCTTGAATCCTTTTTCTGAAGGAGCATTAGCGAATACTACCACGGGAGAGGGCGGGGTCGACGTGTTTCTGCTTTGGTTGTGAGGATGGAGCTGGCCTGAAAACTTACGGACTGCGCTCGGCGCAGCGGCCTGATCCGCCATGGGAAGGAGCATTAGCGAATACTACCACGGGAGAGGGCGGGGTCGACGTGTTTCTGCTTTGGTTGTGAGGATGGAGCTGGCCTGAAAACTTACGGACTGCGCTCGGCGCAGCGGCCTGATCCGCCATGGCTCGATTACGTACGTAGAGAAGTTTCCTGTGATCAGAAGCACAGACAATCATATGTAATTAGTGAAGATCTTGCACGTTATATTCAGGTTTCGTTTGATTCATTTTTATTAAATGGGAAAAATGTGTGTGATGTAAAGTGAACATAGAGAAAAACATATGCAGAATCTATCCATCATTAATAGTTTATTTCCACCCCCCACTAGCATGCACTTCACAGCAACTTGTGCGAGATTACAGTTATAACAAGGGACTGTTTCTTATAATTTTTTTTTCTCTTTGTTCTCTGTAATCTAGCAAATGTTACCCTTTATATGTATGTATGTATGCATTTTAGAATTACATTATTTCGTTGCACTAAAAATGCATACGTACCCAAAAAAAAAATTATATGATTGTTTTGTTGAAATAAAAACGCATATGTACCGAAAAAAATAACATAATTGTTTTAAAATGTTCAGAAAGAACTGCGTTACAATGTAGATGATCACGACGACCGACCACCAAAGTTCTCAACGTAAAAGTTTGCTCTTTCCTCATACCTATCTGTGTCAAGGACCGACTTACTATTTGATCAATACAGAAATTTTAATTTTAATTTCCTTTAAGGAAAAAAGATAATAATGATCGGTTACTTTCGATCGAATTGTCAAGGACAATGTTGGAATTACAATATGGTGACTAAAATTGTTTATATAAATTTAGAATCACAACAGATATCTTATTCCCCAACAAAATGCAACCTAAGATCCAAGGAATGGAACGCTTCTTGAGGCGCCATACGCGGATCAAGAATCGGCAAACAAATTGTTTAGTATATTGAATTAGACCCCTCAAATCAACCGTAATTGCAAATTAGTTCCTCAAATGTTATTATTTTTTATTTCAAATAGGTCCCTCTGCTAGTTATTCCGTTATACAAAGGCTCAATAAGATTTAAAGAAATTGGTTCAATAGGAGCGTAGGAAACCAGATACGGCGTGTAGTAGTATTTAACAAGCAGATACTATTAGCTTAAATTTTAAATTAGGAATCTAAAAATAAAAATCTAAATAGGTGGATGTGATTTACTATCACGAACTACGTAGAAATAAAATTTCAAAAGATTTTAATATGTTTTGAATCATATATCAAGGGGAAAATACTAAGCAACTTTATGAAAATTCTGAAACATTGATTCCAACTTTTGGGTTTATTGCAAATAAGATACTATAGAAATCTTTTTAAATCTTTATGAAAAATCTGAAACATGGGTCAATGAGATATTGAAATCTTTTAAAATATTACTTCTAGGTAATTCATGTGTAATAGATTACATCTATCTGTTTGGATTTTCATTTTTAGGTTCTGAATTTGAAAAATTGGGTCGATAGTATCCGCATGTTAGATACTATTAACAGTAGCCTTTGCTTGACTCTTATTTGCTTATCTATAAATAAAATAGGGTTTATTGCAGACAGACCTCCTTAGTATCACTTAATTGCTAATAAACCCCTTAATAATTCTAATTGTACAGATAGGCTCCTCAAGTTAAATTTTTCTCGTAAAAGGGTCAAAAAAAGTTTTAAAGAGATGATAGCTAGCTCTCTCATAGTACTATTGGTGAGAGTAGACCCGATTGCTATTTTTTACTCTTTGAAAACGTTCAGCTAGTGGGTCTAACAGCACTTGGACAAATAGTACGGGTCTATCCGCCCTAGTAAAAGTTAATGAGGGTCTCTTTGTAATTGGATGAAATTACAGGGTCTTTTTCCCAATTAACCCAATGAAATATTTTTCTCTCACTAGGTATAAGTCAGTTCTCCATACCATCTATATCTATATCTATATCTATACTACTATAAAAGAGGATTGCTATATTAAAACTTTTGATTTCCTTTTATACCCTCTCAATTTTAATGATTCTCAATAACTATAAGTACTAAAGTTTATGTGGTTTTAATGATCACTATTAGGTTCCCTTGAAATTATGTTTTTGGTTAAGCACTAATTATCATGTTAATTATCGGTCCTTCACTTGCGGAACGTTCGCGAGTCGTTGTAAGGACCTTTGGCAGGGGCGTAGCTATTAAGGCCTTGCCCTGGGCAGCTGCCCAGGGCAAGAAAATGATTTTTTTTTAATACCCCCAGTCTACGAGTTCGTCCGAGGTCTCCCAGCGGCTCGTCGATGCGACCCACAGGAGCGATCTCAAGGCGGCAACGGAGTGCCTCGTCGA